AATTGTTTTACATTGGAATGACTACTGATGGGTCATTCTTTCTCTGTCCAGACGCAGCCCTCGTTACTCTTCTACTGACTTTGAATAGAGCTAATTTAACTTAATTTTATTCACCCAGGTCCTGAAGGCATTTGATTTTGCAACCCCTGCCAAATCTTGTCTACTTTCCACTCTGCAACTATAGGGTCAACATCTCAACTCCTGATGTGGGCCCAGAAATAAACCAGCCTCAGCCACAAACCCTTTGCCATTAGGCAAAAAAATCTCATTCCTTCTTTCTCCCGTTCTAATAGAACCATGGGAAAGGCCTTGAGCTGCGGAGGGGAAGGAAAGGCCTCCCTGCTGACCTGCGTAGCCTCTAAACCCTGCCTTCCTCAGACCCTGATATTACTGGGAGGGTCAGAGCCAAAACTGCCCCACTTGCCCTGCCACCCTGTTCGATGGAGAGTATAAAATGAGACAAATTGGTGGAACAAAGTAGATCATCTTTCCCTCCTGGTGGTACTGGTCTTTCTCCAGCACTTTGTTTCTGAATGGCCATGAACCTCTGTGAGTGGGCATTTCCTCCCCCTTTCTCACCCCAGTGTGTAGCTCAGGCACCCCATCTCTGACCATCTCCTCACTGGGATGTCCCTTTTCATTTCATCCACAAAGGTATTTACTGGGTGCCAGACACTGTTCTGGGGTCTGGGGATTCAGTGTTGAATACACAGGCAAGGTCCTTGTCCTCTTGGAGCTCACTTGCTACTAAGAGATGCAGACACAAGTCAGGTGATCCCACGAATAAGTACATAGGACGGTGCTGTCACAATGAAATGCTTGGGGACCTGTTGCCCCCTAGCGGTCTGTGGTCTCCATAAGTAGAATAACAACAGTACCAGACCCTGTTGGTATGTTTTACATATTAATTTACTTTATCTTCACAACGAGCCTACCAAGCAGGTAGTGTCATTACCCACCACAGGAGAGATTTACAGCCACTGAGAAGTGAAATAACTTGCCCGAGCTCACCCTGCCAGTCCGGGCGATGCTTCTGCTCTTGGTTGAGCAGCAGACCTGTCTACAGCCTGGTGAATTTCAAAGTGTGCCCCAGTCCCCTGAGAACAAGACAGGGGGAACCAGGCTCAACCCCAGCAGGTGAGATTTAGGTTAGACACTAGAAAGAACTCCTTGGCAACAGTTATAAGTATACGAGAAAAGGAATGCCTTTTCTGGGAATTTGCTTCTCCCCTGAATTTCCTGTATGGCACAATAGCATTGTAAAAAATAGAGGAATTATTCTAGGAAAAAAAAAAAGATCTTTCATAATTCTTCCTTGTGGATTGGGTTCCTTTTTCCATCTTTTTTTTTTTTTATAGCCCAATGTGAGTCTTGAACTCCTGACCCCAAGTTCAAGAATCAAATGCTTCACCAACTGAACCCCTCAGGTACCCTTCTTCTTTCCATCTTTCTGGGCCAGGTTGAGGCTGTTAGACAGCTGGGTCACTGAGATGGGAAGTGACTAGATCTGGCAAGGCAAGGATGTGGTGACTAGCAGAGGTCAGCTCTTCTCTCCCTGCTTCCATAAGGGGTGGACACCCCTGTGTACCTCAGCAGGGGGACCTAGACACCTTCTTACCCTTATAGGCCACTCTGGATAAAGTAGGGCAGGGGTGAAGCTGTGGGGGATTACCTGCTATTTCAGAGGAGAACAATCAAAACTGCATGTGATCTGTGTCCCTGGGGGAAACAGGGAGGGGAGAAAGGAGCAGTCAGTAAGGATCAGGCAGAGCTAGATGATTAAAATGGCTTCCACGTCAATGGGTAGGATCATAAGTTCCCATTGCCTTACCCCACCCTCATTTCAACACCTCCAGCCCTGAGTTGGCTGCATAATTCTTTGGGTATCCTGGGATGTCCCCTCTTGCTCTCAGGAGATCTGTGTCCTCCCTACCAAGGATTTCCCTTAGGCCTAATAAAATATTTTTCGCGTGCCAAATGCTTCAAAGTTTAAAGTATTTTCCCCACATTCCCTCATCTTTTAAAATAAACTTTATTTCTTAGAGCAGTTTTAGGTTCACAGTGATACCGAGCAGATATTCCCTCATTTTTAATTTTGATTCTCACATCAGCCCTACAAAGAGGCAGGACTGGTATTACTATCTCCACATGGACACTTAGATTACATTTAGAATCACACAGTAGCAAACAGAGCCTGGTGTTAACTGAGGTCTTCTGATCTCTTAAGCCCCAGACACTTTCTCTTGGCTCCCTCAGAGTGCCTTCTGAATCTTTCCAGATCTTTCCTCCCCCTAAGCATGGTAACCCTGCACCATCTCTCCTTCCTAGAGCTTAGAACCAAGTTTGAGAAGTTTCCCCAGTTTCCTTGTTGACCGCAGGGGACCACGGAGAGCCCATCTGTTTCCCCAGTGGAAGGCCCACCCTGGCAGAGGCACTGGGACCCAGAACTTGTACAATGCCCTGATAAGCTTCTTAGAGGCAGGTATTAGCAGGGATCGGATATTCTTCCCCTGAGATGCCCTTCACACCCGACCTGCCTTGAATTAGGATTCCACAGGGGAGCTGGGTACAGGAGAATGGGGTGTTTCCTGCTGTCCAGCTTCAGACTCACTCTTTGAGACCCTGGATTCTGACAAGTTTCCAGAACTAAGAAGACACTCAGATGTCCAGGTTTGAAGGTAAATGATGTGATTAGGTAGGAGGGGTCAGCTGGGGTGCCGGCTCAGCTCCGTTAGACAACACAGGCAGACCAGAAAGAAAGAGACCCTCCCAAGTTTCTTTAGGAGAGGCAAGCAGCTTGCTGCGGAGTTGAGTTTATGGCAAGGGACAGGGCCACTGGGAAGACGGTTACAGGAATCAAGGACAGAGAAGGAAATGTACTTATTCTGTACTTCTCCTTTTGCTTGTTCCTTTTTTGCTTTAAGACAAATGCATTTGGGGACGCCTGAGTGGCTCAGTTGGTTAAGCGACTGCCTTCGGCTCAGGTCATGATCCTGGAGTCCCGGGATCGAGTCCCACATCGGGCTCCCTGCTCAGCAGGGAGTCT